TATTATTATTATTTTTTGAAACACTGACGATTATATGCTGTGTATTTCATTTCACTCTACCAAACTCTTTGAACTAAAATAAATGAAGTACAACAAAAAAAAAAAAAAAGAAAAGAAAGAAATTTGAAAATGATGGAAGGAAATAAAAAATTTATGAATGTCTGAAAGCTAAAAGATAAGATTGAAGTAAAAATGTAAAATTTTTTTTTTTTAGAAAAATGAATGATATTGAACGGATGGATGAAATATACTTTTCATGTATATTTGAAACATTGTTGTAACTAATAGGTCATTTTACATTTTTTCGTTTAAATCATCAATCAAATTTCATTTAGCTCTTTCAACAGCAACCTTTCAAGAAAAAAATATGTCAAAAAAATAATAATAAATTTACTTACTTTTTGATGGAAAGTATCACCAGTGAAAATGCCTGTCAAAACATTCATAACACCTTGCGGTAACTCTGTGATAAGAAATATTGATAAAACAGCGACAAGCATCGGTGTTGTACGATCTTTCGGTACTTTTCTTTTCATCAACTATTAAATTAATAAACGTTAACTAATTTGGAAAGAAATAAATTCAGTGCAATTGTAACACCTGCTGGAGCTTTTTTTTTACTGAATTTAAATGACTGATATGATGCTACCTGTTTTTTTTTCTGCTGCGATTCAACACGCATCAACTATAGGTGATCGAGAATATCTCAAAATTTGATCGGATAGAAAAGATATATTTTTATGATCGAGTAAATTATGAAGTTTGAATAGATAAGAAAGACATTTTTTTTATAAGACATGAAATTCATGCAAATGTTTTTGGATAGTTTATTGAATTAATGCATATTTCCTATAATTATCCTAATACAAGCAATAATAAGGAGAAGCTATATTTACTTAAAAAGATTTCAATGAATTTTTTTGATCTTTATCTATTTATAAAGCTTTTTAAAATTTTAGTCTTTTTTATCTGTTTTAAATCGTTTTACATTTTTTCGTTTTTTTAATTTAATTCCTCAAATACATGCTATTTATTGATTAAACGGTAAGAAGAAGATAGCAAAAATGGAAACTTCGACCCCTATACTTTCTAATCCATCAAAACAAAAAAAAAGACCTAATGTTGAGGAGCTTTTTTCTTTCTCCTCCACCTCCTTCATCTCCTCTTCTCTCTCTACTTCCTGATTTCAAATAAAACTTCTCTGTGATTACATGCTAATTGAATTTGGGAAGAAGTGACAATGTTGTTGTGCCATTTTGCAGCATTACTTTATCGTTTTTATCCAAAGAGTTAAAATTGGCTTACAATTTCGAAATATCTCGCACGGAATTATTTTTATTGATTTTGCAGAGAACTACAGCATATCGTAATTAGTGACTAACTAAATATGAGTACAGGAGTATTTTTATCATTTTAATTACTGTATGATAAATGTTTTCTTGCCGACCTACTGAGGTAAACAAAAATCAGTTAGTATATTATTGACTTGTAATCTATAAATGATTATATACTCAGCTATGATTATGTTTTAATAATTTGGCGCCTGAAATAATATCTAAGCAAAGTGCAAAAAATTGAAATATTTAAATGTTAAAAACTGAAATATGTATATTAAAAAAACTGACAAAAAAATATCTAAATGTTAAATATTGGAATATTGGAATATTAAAAAGAATACATAGGAATTATTTTCCGATTAGTTGATAAGATATTCCCTGCTAAATTTCGTTTTATTTTTCTCTTCACATATCACATATTAAAATTAAATATTATTTTTTTTAAAAGGAAAAGCATGGAATGACTGATAAACGAACCTGTGCAAGAGTTCGCCTTTGATGTGATAAATCGGCAATCACTTTGAGTAGTATAATAATTGATGCAGTCAATAATAAACATGGTACCACTTTAAAAAGTATACCATTTGACCAGAACGCTAACTGCAACATATGAATTTGCCTTTTAGTAAAAAAATAAATACTTTATTAATTTAATAATTAAAAGCACCTATCAAGAATTAATTAATTTTTAAACTTTTCTGTTTGTCAGATATTTCACTAAAAAAGGTGTTAAAATGCCGCCTTGTGTGATTTAATGACACTTTCTTTTCAGTGAATACTTTCAAAAAAAAAAAAAGATTTCGTTCCTGAAAACGACATGTTACCTTTAATAACACGGAAAAATAAGAGGATGCGAAAAGTCAGGTAAAAAGGATGCATCCAAGAATATAAATATTGGTTTAATTAGAGAAAAATTGTAGGTTAGATGAGATTACAATTCGTATTTTCTTTTTTCTAAAAAATAAAACATAGAGTATGTAGTTGAAAACTGTGTGCCATAATTGTACAGATTTAATTTATCATCCATTTAAAATGTTTAGAGAAGATAATTAACCAATTCATTCTCATATACATAATTATTCTAAACATATCCACTAATAAATGCTTATCGACTCATCCTTACGTATAAGCATTGGCTATTACATTTTGTGTTATTTTTCAGTAATTAATAAATTCGCTATAATTTTATTAACCCAATTAACATGTTAATTAAAGTTTTCGATCGCTGGTAATTGGTGGTAATTAAGAAAAAAGAAAAATATGCATATGTGAATTAATTGAGATACTTAAATAATGAAGGTCAGAATTAATAAAAGTAAAATTTTAAGCAAACGAATGTAAAGGTAAAAATAATATTTGATAAAAAAAAAAATATCGAATACCACATTAAAATTTTTTTGCTTATTCTATTCAGAGACTTTTGTTTTTTTTTTTTCATTTTATTTTGTTAAATTTGAAATTCTAATAATGGAAAATAATTGCTAATAGAATAATGATTTTAAAGACAATACTTACTGCGACATGAAACGATTTCAACAGGAATAATATTCCAATTATCTTTAGCTACAAATACGCCAGTCGCATTACTTTGAGGTGGCCACTGTCTAAAATTAAACCAATTTTTCACTAATTCATTCCACCGAAAAATTTGTAAAGGAAGCCAAGTTTGATATTATCTCAACCAAACCTAAAATGCTAGTCTTTTTCAGAGCAATAAAAAAAATTTAAGGAATGATGAAATTGAAATGGAAAATTCCAAAGACAGATTTTAATCCTATTTTTTCTCGTGACTTTTAGTTTGATACTTTTAACTGTGACTTAAAGTTGGAATTATTTCTTACAGTAGCCGTAACTAAGCTATTTTATTTAATTTACCTGATAATAAATTACTTGCCATTTTATTACAAATTTTTATGCATAAACCTGTGTGAAGTCTAATTTTTGCGCTATCTTCTGAACTTTTAGAATATCAGAACAATTTAGAGAAATTTTTATGCGTGCTATTCATTGATGAACAAATTCCTCTCTTTTTTCTTTGTTGTAAAAAGTGAAAAAAAATTAATCAAATTTTTTTAAGCATTCAAAGTCAAAAAAAGAAGAGACAAATCATTACTTCTTTATCTTCAATGTTCTTAACGTATCTTTAAATCATTATTGTAGCATACATAAGCAACTGTGAAATTTTTAAGAGAAAAACGATTTCAAGTCTATTACACCATCACTTTTCTGGACTTTTCGTATTATCGTAAATCAATTCAAATTGCATTCTAAAAATTTCAGCCTTATATAAATAAAACTATTTCTAAACTGATATTTTCATTGGTATGGTATTTTTTTTTTGTTTTATGATTCAAATTTTTGATATATTAATTTTTTTCTATAACCATCGACGAAGTATATATTCGTAAGTTTTTACAGTATTCTGACTTTTTGATATATTGCATTATTTGCATTTACGAATTTCATCATTTGCCGTGCGACCATTCGAAAAAAAAAAAAAAACAGAAAGTTTGATTATTATTGTTGTTTTTTAAACGTTTAGAAAATTTATTCTGCTCTGAGTTTATAATAATATATCATTTTTTTTTTATTAGAATTGTTTGAACTTAATTTGAATTCTTACTTTTTATTTCACATATTTTCACTTTTTGCGTAATTAAAATTAGAGAAAAAGTCTTCAAGTATTTCATTAAAAATATTATTCCATTTTAGTTTACTAGCAATAAATTTTAAAAGAAAGAAATGCATTTCAATATTTTATAACACATTCAAGTACTTTCTTTCATTTAAAAAAAATTAAAGAATGTTCTTCGCTTTTTTCTTTTCAACGCTAAAATTTACGTCACTTTGTCTATCATTGTATGATATTACAATACTTCCTCAAGAAGAAAAAAGTGTTTACCTGGTAAGAGCTTTTACGGTACCTTCTGCTAATCGGGGTTCCACCGTTCTGGAACGTTGCCTTAGCATATTTATCCCACTTTCATCTCTCCTAAGAATGTATTTGAGCAATACAAACAATAACATTTAAAATTGAATCAATTCACTCTCAAAATTTGCATTAAATTGCAACTGCTAGAATATATTTTAATTTAGCAATTTAATAAAATGTGTGTTGCTATTATTATAAGACCGACTAATGATGCCATGAAGTGAATCGATAAACTTTAATTTCTTCTTATTTTTCTATTTAAATAATATATATTAGGGTTTCTATTTCAAAATCGTTGAAATAAAGCAGTTAGAAAATTTAAGAATATTAACACATTCTTTTTTTTTTTTTGGAGGAGGGAATTAGATAATTTAAAACTTCTGTGTAAGTAAATTTAATAGTTAATAGTAAAGTTACCTTGGAGAATGTATTTGGTTAGTAGTGAGTGGAGGTGAGAAGATAGTGTGTATTCGAGATTGTGAACGTGAACGACTGGCTGGATAACCTGAATATGAATCTACATGCGAATCTGCAGTTGCTTCAAATGGCGTATTTATACGTGATGTCGTCAAAAAATCATCTAGAGGCGTATTTAAGCGTGAACCGAAGAAACTTTCCGAAGGAGTTTCTGTCATTCGTTGATTTACTCTATCACGCATCTCTTCCGCTTCTCGTACTGGCGAAAAAACACTTCGACCCATCAAAAAATTACCATCTGGTAACCGATTTGATCTGAAATTCTTACAAATAGAGCAATTTTAAGAATTATTCCTCTTACTCTTCCTATTATTCAGAAAATTTTCACAATACAAAATTACGTGTTCAAGTTTGCAAATAATAGCATAACACAAACGATATATTTTGATGCGTAGGTGCACGGAAAATAAATTGAGCATCCTGATCAGATGATCGACTTATTCTGGAAACAATATTCCTTCTTGCTGGTTTCAGCGTTTCATTATTTTTATTTGCTTTATTCTCGACTGTCAATCCCTCTTCTACTTTTGATGTTGGCGCTTTCCATTTGAGAGGTATAAATCTCTTACTTGTTACTGTCCAATCTCCATTCATCTCGTTATTCTACATCAGATTATACATGATATTTTGTTAAGAACAAATATCATATCATTCTTGGAATTGTTATCGTAAATGATAACAATTTATTATTAGGTAAATTCATATAATAAATAGATGATGAATATCAAATTTGGAATTAATTGATAAAAAGTTAAGATGAGATAAATTCGTTCGGAGTAAACTGAGGTGGATTGCATTTTTTCCTGAGATCTTAATTTTGCAGAAATCGATGAAAAATTCGTAAAAATGTGCAAATTTAGCAGGCATAAGCATACCTCCTGTGGTTCAACTTTTTGCTCACTTAACTTTAGTTCACGTTCTTTGACTCGAGCATGAGCTTCAGCCATAATATCAAGTGGCAAAACAGCAACACCACCTTTTGGTGGTACCTGTAACTTCTTTTGCTAGCTAATCAATAATATGCAATTTGATCCTCGCAAAATTTATGAAACTTTTGAAATTTAAAAATGAAGTAAATTTTTATCATTTTGAATATCTGATTTAATCATTCTACCTCCTTATAACATTTATAACAGTCCATCAGACATAATTTTATTATACGTTTTCAAGTTTATGAACCTAGCAGTTAGATCATTCTGCTCATCTCACTCTCTGGATAGTGCTAAGATAGTTCAGATAGTTTAATCTTAACTTTACAATAAAATGCTATATATTTTTTGGCTTTGTTGAAATTTTTATAACATTTCCATGTCCATCATATAATTTACAGATTAAATAATTCAATACTTAGAGTAATTCGTAAGTGTCAGAAAGTTTTAGATAGTGTTTAAACTTGACAAAAATTTTTCTAATTCAAATGTATATTACTCGGTTCATTTAAATAACAAAACATAAACTGTTTAAAAGAGAGCTGTTCTAATATTCGAGTTTTAAATAAGAAATAAAATTAATAAATTAATTTACAATGATTGATATAGTGGAATTGAAGAAACAAACTTTCTCATTGTCTTTTGTGCTTGTTGCCGATGTTACTGTTTTAAAAGCTGGTAATGAAAGAGAGAGAGAAGATGTTGTTGGTGGTGGTGGTGGTAGTTGTAATGGTTGTGGTGGTGGATTTACCACTGAAACAGCAACATGTGAACCTTCTAAAGTAGACTTGTTAAAATCACTTGTATAGATTTGCTTCCTAAAATAAAATTCTACCGGTTGCATAACTGATTTCTCAACCGATGACCATGTCTGAGAAGTTATTTTAGCATTTGAAAAAAACAACAAAAAGAAAAACCTCACTTTTTTTTCACCTTCAAGTAGAAAAAATTTGTTAGAAAAATAATTTAAAATGAAAAGACTGCAATTTCTAATGTTGTCCTAAAATCCTCTGGAATTCATATAAAAGTTCCTTTTTCTTCTTTTTTTGGAAATTTAAAGTTTTACATGATCTGCTCAAATTTTGCATTAAATCCGAATTTTTTCTTGTTATTTCCATTCAAAAAAGAATATTTTCATCTAAATTTTCGGAAAATTTATCGTTTTCGATTTTTTTTTTCTCGAATTCTAGTAATAGATGAAAATATTAAAATTCAAGAATTAAAATGAAATATGAGAAATTTAATAAAACTACCTGTTGAAAAAGACTGTTGTTGTTGTTGTTGTTGTTGTATTTCCTGTTGCTTATTTCGTTGTCGTAATTCGACCTGGACATTTTCATTAGTCGTTTCAACGAATGCATTTTGCATTTGTTTCTGATTATGGATGCTTCCCGTTGGAGTTCCGGAAATTATTGTCGAATTGCCTGAGCTAACAAGCCATTCGTGGATAATCGAATAAAGCCATACGATGAAATGCACTATTATAGTACTAATACCTTCCAGGATACTGTAAAAAGCGCTACACAAATTTTGAAATATTCGTGCCGCTTTGTTGGCATACTGTTCGCCTAGCTGTTGATATGAATTCATTCTTTGAAACATTTGAAATTTTGATGTTGTTGCTATTGATTGCTTTTTTTCTTGCCAGCTAACTTCTGTTTTGATGATATCAGTATTTTTATCCATGGTTTCAATATGTTCAGCTAATTTGGAATTGGAAGTAGCGGACGATGAACTATCCGTTTGCACTTTCGGATTATGTAAGCAGCAATTGTTTGTTGTACAACGTTCAACACTTCCAATTTTCTGCCATTCTGGTTTTCCTCTACAATACAATTACAGAATTATAATTTCTTATCGAAATTATTGATTCTAATTGAAGTAATTTGCAAAACTGGAAATCGTTTAAGCATATTTAATTTATGTAACTTCCTCATTTTGAGCTATTAGTTAACTTTATTCTTAAATATTAAATCAATTTATTTTCACAATTTGGCATTCTGTTTTTTTTTTTCAAGAAAAAGAAAAAAAGATTAAAAAATCTTTCCGCTATTGATATCTTGCTTTTATTTGGCAAGAAAACCGGAAATCTTGAAAATTGATCTTTACAATGTTTCAGTTCACTATTATTAATTTCATTTAATAATATAATCAAAAGCAAAAAAGAACTGGGTTAAATTAAATTAACAATTGGTAATTTCTCTTTTCTTGGGTATTTGACAAGAAAACAATGCGATTTACGTTCGTTTAATTGAAAATGGCAATATTTAAAATAAAATAATTTTTGGTAGAGTTTTTTTCAATTTTTCCAATAACTTTGTGATTTTTTATTTTTCAAAAAATAAAAATAAAAAAAGTAATTCCCTGGAATTATTGAACATTCTAAAACATTTAAAAAGTTAATTAGTTTGTTACGTTAAGAAGCAAAAAAAGATGAGAACAAAATAAATAAGGAATGGATTTTCCATGATTGACTTTTGAATGGGACATAAGTTATTTATTTCTTATTTTTAATTCGGAATAATTGCTGTAGTAAATTTCCGCTTTTTGTTTATATTATAGTTTTATGATTGTGAAAGAAATTCATTACACTTATTCAATTCGTCTATTGAATTGAAAAGAGACAAATCAGTTTAAATATATGAATGTATAATAAATGAATATATATATATATATATGTATACATACGTAGTTAATTACTTTCCTTTCTACTTTTAATTATTTTAAACTGACTTATCAGCTGATGAATTGTCTCACATAAATTCATTTTAATACTGCTCTATGCATTTATAATATTTTGAGATTTAAAATTAAATTTTGACTCAAGCTAAATTCTAATTAAACTTTTTTAATAATAGATTATACAGTATGTAATGTAATTTTTATGATATTTTTATGAATATGAACTTGGGAAGCGATGTTTCGTTGTCATATTGGAAGAAACCAAAAAAAAAAAAAACTTAACTTTTAAGCGATTTAATTGAAAACTTTTTGCATGAGAAGTGAAATATACTTTGCAAATTTTTAAATATTCAGATGCAAATTAATGATTAAAATGTTTGTTATTGTGTACCAGAACAGGCAATGTTCGAAATGATTATCATTTAACTAAACTTCATTCAGTAAAATCATCAAGTGAAACTAAATTTAACAATGAGAAAATTGAAATGGTAAAAAAGGAGAATTTAAAATTCCGTAAGAGTAAAATAAAGGAAAGAAAGAAAGAAGGGGAAAAAAAAGGAAGAAAACGATTAGCTTACTTGAAAAGGAAATAGAAGAAATAGAAGAAGAATAGTGCGAATTGATAAAAAGCAGCTAGAAGGCAGCTAAGCATTTTGAAGTTTGTATAGAAAATCTGTAAAAATTTTGACAGCTGCTTTAAGTTCATTACACTGTTAAACAGCATAAGCACTAAAGGTATTTTAACGGCTAAGACAGAGAAAGGAGATGAAAGAAGTGAAAAAGGAAGGAAGGAAGGAAGGAAGGAAGGCTGGATGGAAGGATGGAAGGATGATTAAAGCAATTTATCCAATAGCCAACTTCCTCTTCTTCAGTGATTAAAAATAACTCTCTTTAAGATACTGATAAAAAAAAAAATCTAAATTCGAATATTGTTGTTGTTGTTTTTTTTTTTTTCAACTTTCATATTTCGCTCATTTTTTTTAACGATTATACATTTCATATTATTACACAATGATGACGAAAGTGAAAAAAAAAATGCTGTCACAATTAATTTTACT